TACAAAACCTAAAAATTCTACGCGTCTTTTAGCAAATTTACATTTATCTTTATTAAGACGTAATCCTGCTCTTTCAATGCGCTCCAATACTGTTTCAAGACGTTGAGTCATTTCTGTCAATGTGCGACCGCTGATTATAATGTCATCAATAAGCACGGCTACACCTGGTACGCCGGCTAGTAGTGCGGTCATCAGGCGTTGACATATTCCCGGACACGCCTTCACGCCGAATGCCAATCTGTGTACGGCATACAATCCTTTACATGTATTTAAAGTTAAGAGCTTCGCTGTGGCATCTGTGACCACCACTTGCGTATATGCTCTGTCTAAATCAAGTGTGTAATAAGAGCTACCTGCAATAACTGCAAAAACTTCACTAGCCGTGGGCGTTGGGTACGTATCCGACTCAGTAGCTTGATTCACCGTACTTCGATAGTCTCCGCAAAGTCGTATGTCTCCATTTTTCTTTACTATAGGAACTACTGGTGTCGCCCATTCTGAAAAAGATAAAGGGCGCAGTACCCCCCTCCTCCACTAAACGATCGATTTCCTTTTCAATCCTTTCTTTTAACGCGAATGGCACTGGTCGAGCTTTTAAAATTTTAGGAATTGTGTTAGGCTTAATTTGTAAGTTCACAGGGTTCCCTCTATGTGTACCAAGCCCTTCTCTGAAAACTATATTATATTTATTAAACACTTTATCAATATCTGTCATATCAATATCAATAACATTAATAATATTTAAAGTAATATCTAATGCTTTAAACCAGTTTCGACCAATAAGATTTGGGCCCGTGCCCTTCGCTACAACAATATTCAAATTACACTTAATGTCTTTAAATTGCACTTGCACTGTAGCTGTAGAGTGTAACTGCATCCATGTGTGTTCATTCAAAATTGAGAAAACAGACCCAGAGTCCACCTCCATGATCATTGGCACACCATCCAATAGAAGTTTTATTTTATATGCTGGTACCCGTGAAGTCAAACTGTCCAAATTATAAATGCCTTTTAGATGTGTATCTAACTCTTGTGTATTATTCACATTGCCCCTACGGCTTTTCTTTTTAGCTGTGCAAATTTTTTCAATATTCCCCATTTTTCTTGCAAAAATCACAAACAGCATTTATGAAACGACACACACCGCCATGACGATCGCCACATCGGTAGCAGAATATAATATTATTTTGAGATTTTATGGCATTGACATCCATCGGCTCGCATGATGATGTTACGGTGAAGTAGTGGAAATTGAATCCCTGGAGATGGCAAAGTTAGTGCTGGTCATACTTTGCATCATGCGGACATCCCTCACTGCACTTTCAGATTATAGCATGGCATCCACTACATCCGTATACTGTAAATTGTCTTTTTTTAGCAATTCATATTGCAGTTTCTTATCACTCATACCGCACACAAGTCTGTGACAAAGCATACGTTCCAAGTCCGTAAAATTGCACCCCGCACTTATTTTTCTAATATGTGCAATATATTCAGATACTGATTCACTTTCTTTTTGATCACGTTTATAAAATTGGAAAGACACTGAAATCTCGTTTGGTTTCGGACTATAATGCTTCGTAAGAATTGTTACAATTTCTGCGAATGTCACATCACTAGATTTTTTTAAAGTTGTTCAAAACGACTATAAATCAATAGCACGCTACAGACTATAAACTATAAATTTCTAGCGCGCTATTAAATACGCTATGTTATAGCGCGCTATTTATAAGAAAGCGTGTAGAATGCCGGCAAGCGCGTTAAGTTTTGCAGCACGTTATATCTCGTAGCACGTTACATTACATATCGTTCATTGGATAAACCGCGTGCTATAGTAAAGTAAAGTAAAGTTACATCCTATATACGTCCCACTGCTGGGCTCAGGCCTCCCCTCATTTCTGAGAGGGTTTAGGGCAAGGAAGTGTCCGCCGCGCTGCCCAAATGCGTGTTGACGAACTTCACATGTCTTCGAAATATTTTTTTTCTTATTCCTCAGACATGCAGGTTTCCTCACTATGTTTTCCTTCACCGCCGAGCACGTGGTAAATCAGCACTTAAAAGTCGTGGTAGCTCAGTGGTTAACGCTCGCTGTAAATATAACAGAACGCGAGTAACCCGGGTTCGATCCCCGCCGGCACCAATGAAACCGCGTGCTATACAAGAACATTATTGCGTAATAAGTCGCATTTTAGACTAAAATAAAATAAAGCGGTAAAGAAAAACCAATGAACGCTTTTTTATACTTTGCAGGTTTACGACTTTCTATAATCCTAAAAATATTTTTAAGGCATGTACTTTTTAAAACGAAATAAATTAATTATTTTTTACTATATTATAATAAAAAATAATTAATTTTATTTCGTTATTTAAATTAATGTAAACTTTATGTTAACCTTAATATAAATTATAAATCAAATAAAGGTGTATTTAAAAGTTTACTGATTGTATTTATAAAAATCAACTATTTTCGCACACCATTATATACACTTTTGTATCTATATTTTATTTACATTTAAAAACATTAGTTAGGCTTCTTTTATAGCAGACAACTGTGTTCTTCTATCACTTATAAATATACAGTATACACTAACTAAACAACGTCTAACACTAAATTAAGTCGCGCGCGATGAATAGCGTGCTACTAGATCAAATTTGCGTCACACGTCCTCTCCCAACAGCGCTGCTGCTATAAATAGTTGCCGCTAGATATTAATACTTAATAGCGCCAAAGCGCAATAGCGCCATGGCGACTACTTACATAGCACGCGCTATGCGTTATGGATTGCGTCACACGTCCTCTTCCAACAGCGCTGCTGATAGAAATAGTTGCCGCTAGATATTAATACTTAATAGCGCCAAAGCGCCATAGCGCAATAACGCCATGGCGACTACTTACATAGCACGCGCTATGCGTTATGGAGAGATAGCACGCTACAATATGGCGCTATGCGCTATATTAACCACCATTAGATTTTTTTGACGTAATTAATGCCAAAACAGTCTCATATACATTTGCGCCACAAACCGTGTAAAAATTCGCCCTTTCAACCGCGTCTGACTCGATTCCATTCGCCTCAAAACAGTACACTAATCGTTCTATATAATTGTCCCAATTATCACTTTGTAAATTAAATTCGTGAAATTTCACTGATTTTCGTTCCATTGTTTCACTTTTTACACTACGTCGCTGCTGTTAGATCCAATAAAACACCGTAATTTAGGTAAATACGTGTATTGTGCTAGGTAGCAAAACTAGTGACAAACTTACTACTTAACTAACTTACTTGACTTAACTAACATTATTTCTTAACAATGTTATGTAAGTACCCACATTCATAACTATTTATCACAATCCATGATATACACTCGGCGTCACAAAAATCGCACCTCCCCGAAAAAAAGTTACTTGAGTGTCTGGCTCTCAGTGTTTACATTTAATCAAGTCATTATTGGTATTTACTGAAAGTGCGTTTATTAACCTTTAAATTAACAACTGTTTTGTTTCATAAACTTAAGAAATCTTCTGAGGACGAGACGTTGAAATAACTTTTTCTAAAATACGTGTCGTAAAGATCGCTAGTTGCGGTGCGTTATGTGCTATAAAAGGGCCGGTACAGGGTAAAATGTGAGTAATTCGCTTTCCAAACGTTGAAGAGGATACACGTAAATTTCGGAATCAAGCTTAAAACCCCACAATGTGGGTGACACTGTTGGTGAAACCGCTCAAGTGATTTTGCTACTGCAGTCAGGGATGCGACAGTGTGATGTCGCTCGGCAACTAAATCTATCCCGTTTTTCCGTTCGACGAGTATTCCAACGGTTCCAGGACACCAATGACTATATTCGGAGGCGTGGATCTGGGCGACAGCGCTCCACATCACAAAGAGACGATCGATTCATTGTATCGACATCTTTACGCAATAGATTCTCAAATGCTGTAGAACTGCAACAGCAGTTACGATCAGCTCGCAGAACATCTGTAAGCGTCTCTACGATCAGAAGACTGTTAAGAGAAAAGAAAATTGCAGCGCATAGGCCTGCAACTGGTCCAAAATTGACCGCACAGCATCACAGAGATTGATTGCAATTTGCACACGATCATATTGATTGAACGATCGACCAATGGAGGACAGAACTTTTTTCGGATGAGACGAGAGTATGTCTTTTCTCCAATGATAAACGCATAAGAGTATACAGAAGGCAAGGGGAACGATTTGCACAAGCCTGTATTGAAGAAACAGTTGGATTCAAGGGTGGCTCATGCATGTTCTGGGGTGGCATGTCAGTCGACGCCAAAACCAGCCTTGTCTGCGTTTCCCGGAGTGGAGGTGCTCGTGGTCAAGGGTCGCTGACTGCTCACCGATACATAGTGGAGATCCTAGAAGAGCATGTGGTTCCATACGCGGGTTTTGTTGGCGGTGGATTTACATTAATGCATGACAACGCCCGCTTGTGATTGATGTGATTACCTTCAAGAGGTCGGGATCTCTGTTATGCGGTGGCCGGCGCCAAGTCCAGACATGAACCCGATAGAGCACCTCTGGGATGATTAAAAGCAGCGAGTACGGACTCGTGATCCTGCCCCCGCCACACTGCAAGAACTCGAGGAGGCTGTCATTGAGGAATGGGACAACAATCCTCAAGAACGCATTGTTACGTTGATTGGATCAATGAAAGATCGTATGGAAGCAGTAATTAAGGCAAAGGGGTGGTTAACACTAGGTTTTAGGTCGTTTCAAAACATGTTTTTTTTTTAATTTTGTAAGATGCAATAAATCTTAATTTTCTTCTTGTGGACATTAACTTCTTTTTTTTTATTTCCCGGTAAAAACAAATGATAACCATTATTTTTTCTAATGAGTAAATTTAATTACCTTTCCAATGATATAACATACTTATAGACTTACCATTGATTAAATGGATTTAAAAGTAGTTTGAAGTAGAAATTTAAAGAGATTTTTGTGACGCCGAGTGTATAACAAACATTTCTTCATTTTTAGTGGTAGGAGATCTCAGCCCCATTGTGGAATTAAGTACGGGAGCATTTCGAAGTGATAGTCGCAGCGCTTTTGAAGGAAAATCTATTGTAGACTTAAGGACTTCTGTTGAAATGTGCTGTTCTTTACCTCCAACTGTTCATACAGTAATATCATGCGCCACGTTGGCACAACAGTTCAGTGATCTTGCTCATGATGTGTCTAGGAGTTGTGACCAGTTAGTTCTTGAACAACATCTGCAACATCAAGTAAGTTAGAATTAAATTTGTTGCAAAGTTCTTTTATGTCGCCATATTAAATATTTAATATATTGTGATTTATTTTAATGTTATGCACTAAATATCCTATTTGATTAAAAAATAAGTAAAGTTTCTGTTTATATTATACTTCCCAATGCTGGGACCGGGTTTTCTCTCATACCTGAAAGAAACCTGGAGCAAGTTTGCCTATAGAATTTTCTAGGTAGTGTTGGCAAATGTCACACGTACTCAAAACATTTTGTTTCTCAGACATGCTTCTGAGTCAGATTTCTCACGATGTTTGCCTTAATCTGCACTTCAAATTTCATTGGTGCCGTTGGGTATTGCTGTGGTGTCAGTAGCCTCAAGGGTAGCCCGCTGACCAACCGGCTAATGAGTGTTGGTATATAGTATATCCATCAGTTGTTCTGCTCATATAAGTTTAATTTAAAATGTGTTATGCAGGGTTGGGCTGCTGTGGTCGCTAACTTAGAGGACATATTTAATGAATTTTGTGAACGATCGAAAAGTTTTAAAGAATCATTTAGGAAACATCGTTTAAAGAAGGAGGAATACCATGCAATGTTAAATACGTAAGTATAAAAATATTTATGTCTCTAAGATAAATATGTGTCAAAATATTTTTGTACAAATAAATAAGATCAATAAAAGAATAACATAAAGTCCTATAAAATATTTCTTTCAGCAATAACATTCGATATCGATATTTTGTATTTAAAAGTAAAAAACAAACTTATATCAGATTTAATGAAAAGTTAAACTGTCTTACTCTTAACCCTGGCCTTAAGCTAATGCTAAAGCAGTTCACCTTTGCTATACTAAAATTTATGCTAATTCATGTAACATATTACATTTCTACTCCAGTCAGTTGTAGTTTTAATGTTTTGTTAGTTGTTGTTGTAATATTTGTCTTGTTAATGCTTTAATCGATGTTTGTCTTTGTTCTACAGCCTCAATGATGTTTTAAAATCATTAAAAAAGATTCCAATCCTCCCCGCGCTTCAATTACAAGCTGAAGCGCACAGGTTCTCTGCTTTCGATGTATTCGAGGAGACGGATTTCGAGGGTCATCATTACAGGATAAATCAACCGTTAGACAATAGTTCAGAAAACCGAGCCTATCAGGACTTTGGAGTAGAAGCATTCAAGTTGTCAGAGGAAGATGGTAAATTTTTATCGATTAACATTACTTGGTTGAGACTTTTTATATAACATTTTTGTCACAAAAGAACTTACAGTCCACCCGCAGCCAACTTAAACCAAAGAAGGCTACTACAGATGCGTTGTCACCTTTCAGGTCTATGATGTAGTGCCTCAGCCTGTAATGGACGACACACACGGTCAGTTCAACTGATCATTCCAACTGATCAGTTCAAACTAGAACTGTTGATGTTTTTTAAAATATCGGAGTTTTTTATAGGACAGGGTGACAAACGAGCACACAGTCCACCTGATGGTAGTTGCTGTGGCCCATAGACATCTACATCTTTCCTCGATTACGATTCAAAATGCGGATGCGTCGTCACCCGTGAGGACTAAAATGGAATGCCCCTTTTCCAGAAAAAGGGTCTCCAGTTCTCTACACTCACCATACGAAACACAGCAGCTTTAAGTTACTATTTTAAGCTGGTATTCTGTGAGAGCGTGTGCCTTCCCCAGTCGAGCTGACCCGTTCGTGCTACAACTATACTACTAATATAACTGCAGCATGGCTTTACCACGTATAAAACGAATTTTCGATATATAAATCAATAAACTTATATATAAAACTCCGATATTGATATATTTATAATTATCGATGTATCGAAAATCCGATATTTTGAAAAATATCAACAGTCCTAGTTTGAACTGATCAGTTGGAATGATCAGTTGAACCGACCGTGTGTGTCCGCCATTTTTGTGTAAGTAATTTAATAAATTGTAGTGTGTTATTTAGTTATAAGGCACAATGAGACTGACATGTTAAAAATAACGTAAGTCCCTAAATTAAAAAGAAATAAAAAATTATACTGGCCTTCTATAGCCTTCAGACCGGAACACAAAATAATGTTATTTGGTGTCAAAAGTAGGCAAGAGTTACTTATTTAAAAGCATTCCTAGGTATAAAATGAGTCCACCTAGAAAACTTGACGTATATTATTATACATTATAAGGAATATCTAAATTATTATTATCATAAACAACACAGACGTCCTGCGCTCACGAGCCTATTATTAGTATTAATATAATACGTACGTTCGTTCTGCGCTTACTATCGTACTTAAAAGGGTAGAGTGCGAATCATAAAATTGATAAGTTTATTTAATGAATAAATACTGATAATCATTGACACACAAATGCTTACTTCATTTAAGAGGTATGATCTAAAATGAGTTTGTCAAAATAAAAATACAACTCAGTAGCATATGCACACCTAAAATTAATTTATTGAAAATAAATGATCTGCCGCGAAGTGGCGGCGTGAGACGAATCCCAACAACCCCACATCTTCCCGTGGGTGTCGTAAGAGCCGACAGAGGGGCAGTGGAACAGGAGATTGGTAGCAGCATCTTGATAACAACGGAAAATAATAAAAGGGTGGTCAATTTGTCTAGTAACTATGTCAAGTGTCCACAGGGCATTCTATGGGGAAGATCTATGTTTGGCAGGGGACATTTGATATACTTTAATAAATGCATCGGTATGATGAAATGTATTTATTTTTAAACATGGTGGAGCCATGTTGGAGCTATATTGTGGTTTTAGCACGAATAGGTTGGCTCGAATTAGGAAGGAACACACTCACAGAATATCAGCGTGAAATAGCTGCTCAATGCTGCTGTGTTTCGTATGGCGAGTGTAGACAAAGGGATACCCTTTTTACTGGAAACAAGGCATTCCATCTTAGTCCTCACGGTGACAACGCAATTTCATTTTGATTCTTAATAAGGGATAGATGTAGGTGTAATAAGTATTTGCAAATAAGTTTGTGTAATAAGTATTTGTTTTAAAATATCTATTGAAAAAATTTATTCTATCAAATCCTTATTGCTTTTTACCACATGTTAAAAATATTTAGTCAACTTATTTCTATTATAGTATTTGACCAAAAACATCCATCTACAAGTAAAGAAGGAGCAGAATCTTCAGATGCAATGCAACAAATTGAGGAGTCTGATGAAGGGGTTACATTTAAAGCAAGTTCTTACGAGACAAAAGAAGAGCCAACTTTGTTGCATTGGATTCTCGCTCAAGGGAATAAAGCCTCGTTACAAGATATTTTAGACTACTGTGAAAAAGGATTAGCCTTGGTAAGTAATAATATGCAGATATTTTTTAAACATATTAATGTTACCTACCTTACTTAGTATATCACAGCCTCTGCGTTTAACTGCCTCGCATATCCAGTAATTGTAAGCGTGAAGGTTGGACCAATATTCTACCACTGGGTTTCTCTGTCAAGACATTCTGAATAGTAGCCCGGAGTCAAGAAATTGGCGATGTTTTCTGTACCTCGGAAAGCACATTCATTTAGTAGCATAGGGGGATTTAGTCCATAACAAGTTGAGTCGTCATTAGTCTTGACCAAATGTCCAAATGTCCGATTGAGATCTTAGATCCATAATTTAAAAGTAAATATATAAAATTCATAACAGAAAATAAAATTCGGTATTACATGCATTGTGATATTGCGTATTGAATACTAAATTCAAATAATTTCGTTTCTTTTACAAATTGATGATAATTATTCACCTGGTCAATTTTATTCAATAATCTCGAAGCTTGTCAATTTTATAGCTTATGATTATGATGTATGTACAGATGCACTCACTCATTCTTTCTTGCTATAGGGATAAGCAAGGGTTTGTAGAGTAACTTGTATTAATTTAAAAGCTGAAGTGTTAGTGGTAGTGAAAGTGTGGGTATCAAATCTGCATTATGATTTACTGAAAAATAATGAACATTTAAAATGCTATTTCTTTATCAGTTATCATAATTTTTATCTAATTATGTCTTAAGGTCACAGACATCGCGGTTTTCAATATTGACTTAATACATATGTACTCATTAAATGAAATATTTTTTTCTTTCTATTAAGAAAAGCCCAAATTAAAATTCCAATTTCAGTTATTTTTCGAAATATTTTTGAATGTTAAAAATGTTAACCTCCAGGTCTTGTACCAGGTCATCATCATCGTTATCATCCTCATCTTAAGCCCTTAAAAGTCTACTGCTGGACATGGGCCTCTCATAAACTACCGAGGATATAATCGCCACGCTTTGCAGGCGGCTTGACGATAGCAGTATCAGACGCCTTGCGCCTGTTATTTATTACACTGCTCTTCGTCTCTTCTCATTTGACACCTTTTCCTCACTGGTTTGGGTATTTTACGTTACTGTTCCGGGTAACACGTCTCTTCTCATTTGACACCTTCCAACCTTACATCCATGTAATAGATGTCAAGGAAGAAGACATATGTCGTTTGGGCTGCTCTACATCACAACATGTACAAACAGTCCTAGAAATTTAAGGTCTTTTCATAATAGTTTTTTTATTATTGTTACGAGCTTGGGGTTCGTGACAGTAAAAACTGCCGATTGAATTACCAAAATTGACACTTTAATTACAGAACACCAATTACAACTTAAAACACACTAATAATAAATCACAATTGTACTACTGATCACTTCTAATATAGAAACATCTAGAATGTTCGAGTACATACCGGTCCCGACTGACTAAGTGTCGATTGTTCTAGGAAGTTCTTCCATAGAAATTTCTAGACGGATCTTGACTCCTAGTTCTGCTGTTTGATACTAGAGGGCGCTAGTGGTAGCTAGTGTCGCCATGTAACAGGCATTAATTGTGGCGCGCAACATTATCATCCGCCCGCAAGAGTCCACTGCTGGGCACATGGGACTCTCCTGTTACAGGGAGGCTTTGCCATTATAGTCACGCTTGGGTGGCGGATAAACAATCACAGCTCTAGACGCCTCACACCATTGACCCTGCGACCCGAAGCCGTACTTCATATTTTACGTCTAGTCTAGCGTAGATGAAATGAGTCAAACCATCATCTAAACCATGAGCTCCTTCTAGTATTTCCATGGGGTGGACTCTTTTACATCACTATAAATGAATAAAAATGGTAAAATTTGACAACATTATTTCAGATCGACGCAGAACCACTCAAGGAACGAGAAGCAGAGCTGTATCACATACTCGAGTATGCTAACATGCACGGCCTGAAGCAAATCAAAGGCATTGAAGATCGCTTGTACGGTCTCGATCAGCTTTTAAGTGAAGTTAAGAAAATTGAGCGGGACCAGCATGATCAAGCTGCTTCTCTCATACAGGTTAAAATCAATCAATATTATACATTAACTGAAAATAAGTGTTCAAATCCCAGTAACCCTTATCACGTCTTTGAATTATTGTGTATCCAGAATTATTTAGATACGAGGGCGGCACTGAAAATTTCGGGAATCAAGGAACTGACACAACATTACTATTTAAAAATATATTTATTGCTTTTCGAAGTATTCTCCGCGAAATTTGACACATTTTTCCATACGATGGAACCAATCATTGAAGCAACCATTCCATTCGGAAGTTGGGGTCTCCAAAATGGCCGTTTTGTAGGCGTCCACAGCTTCTTCAGGTGTAGAAAACCTCTGTCCACGCAATTTATTCTTTATTTTAGGGAAAGTATAGAAATCATTAGGGCTTAGGTCGGGGCTGTACGGCGGATGGTCTAATAATTCTATGTTTTCTTGCTATAAAAATTCTTTTGTTCAGTGTGCGGTGTCAGAACTCGCATTGTCGTGATGAAGGATGATGCGGTGGTTGCAGTTCTCTTTACGGAGTTCAGAAACGACCTGTGGCAAATAAATGCTAGCATACCATTCTGCATTAACCGTTCTTTGTCCCTCAAGAGGAATAGTCGTAACATGGCCGGTTTTGGAGACAAACGTGGCCACCATTTTTTTTTGAACATTCCGTGAACGAACAATTTTTGTTGGCTTTAACTCATTTTCGAACACCCAAACTCGTGACTGGTTTTTTGTTTCGGGTTCGTACGCGTATATTCAGGATTCGTCGCCTGATACGATGTTGTATACATCATTATATATATATATATATATATATTTTTTATTCCGCTTTTTGCTCTTCACAGAGCGAATGCAGTATCAACCGGGAAAACAACTTTTTTTACACCTAATTGTTCATGCAAGATTATTTGTATTTGACTCATGCTAATGTCTAAAGTTGCCTGAATTTCGCGATATGTCACATGTCGATCTTCCTCAATCAGCTTACGCACAGCATCAACGTTTTCTTGGGTGACTGCAGTTTTTGGACGACATTGACGGGGATCATCACTGAGCTTGACACGTCCACGTTGAAATTCAGCAAACCAGCGATAAATTGTGGTTTTGGATGGGCCTTCATCACCAAATGCAGAAATCATCCGGTCAACACACTGTTTTTGTGTTAAACCACTTCGAAAGTCATAATAAATCATCGCTCTTGAATTTTCTCGAGTCAATTCCATTTTCTCAATGACTAAACAAGTTTGACAAAACCTTGATGAAGGATGATGCGGTGGTTGCAGTTCTCTTTACGGAGTTCAGAAACGACCTGTGGCAAATAAATGCTAGCATACCATTCTGCATTAACCGTTCTTTGTCCCTCAAGAGGAATAGTCTTAACATGGCCGGTTTTGGAGACAAACGTGGCCACCATTTTTTTTGAACATTCCGTGAACGAACAATTTTTGTTGGCTTTAACTCATTTTCGAACACCCAAACTCGTGACTGGTTTTTTGTTTCGGGTTCGTACGCGTATATTCAGGATTCGTCGCCTGATACGATGTTGTATACATCATTATATATATATATATATATATATAATCCGCTTTTTGCTCTTCACAGAGCGAATGCAGTATCAACCGGGAAAACAACTTTTTTTACACCTAATTGTTCATGCAAGATTATTTGTATTTGACTCATGCTAATGTCTAAAGTTGCCTGAATTTCGCGATATGTCACATGTCGATCTTCCTCAATCAGCTTACGCACAGCATCAACGTTTTCTTGGGTGACTGCAGTTTTTGGACGACATTGACGGGGATCATCACTGAGCTTGACACGTCCACGTTGAAATTCAGCAAACCAGCGATAAATTGTGGTTTTGGATGGGCCTTCATCACCAAATGCAGAAATCATCCGGTCAACACACTGTTTTTGTGTTAAACCACTTCGAAAGTCATAATAAATCATCGCTCTTGAATTTTCTCGAGTCAATTCCATTTTCTCAATGACTAAACAAGTTTGACAAAACCTTGTGACAAGACCGAGAATCTTTTTTTAAATAAATAAATGGTATTCGATTTTTAAAACCAAGGAGTTTTCAATTAAAAAGATTTTAATATGACAGGAACAGTGGAAATATTCCATTCCTGATACTTTTAGTGCAGCCCTCGTATTAAGATGAAAGAAAGGCAAGCAAGTTATCTATATATAACCTGAGTACATAACGGAAGAAAAAAAAAATTATGTACATGATGTCATTATTAGACTTCATATCTACAAGTTTTATTAAAATAATGTAATATTAATATTTTTTGAATTAAAAAATACATTCAAAATAGAATAAATCAAAGTTTGTTATAATCATTTCCAGTACCGCGAGCGACTAAATTCTGCGTGCGATCCTTCAGTATTGCCAACTTTAGTACAGTCACATTGTTGTCAGTTGGAAAAACTTCTAAATGGACATCAAGTGTTAATTGATATTCGACGTCGCATTGCAAATTCGAAGGATGAACTATCACATATATTGAAAGCTAGATTGGAGTGAGTAAATAAATTTTGTTTTATTTGATTTTTGTATTAACTATTTTTGTAGTCATCTGTTAAATACCAGCCATATACATGCCATATAATATTTAGACTCGACCCTTTACGTCATGACACATTCGGATAATAAACAATCATACATTTTCTGCTGTCATACAAGGAATCATTAAAATTTCATCCTGTCGATCTTCCCTAATCTGACATAGTATTAATCTTGTTTTTATTGATGATAATGGTTCGTCATTTTTAGCCATACTTCTAACTCGACCATAATGTCACTTTCTTAAAATTTTGTGATTTTGGACGTGAATACGTCTTTAAATTTGTCTCCATAGTGGGAGGCAATTTAGAAAACCGATGATAACAAAATTGGGAGATACAGTTTGGTGTCGTAGCTACATATCTTTTGTCCACATCCAACATTTAATTACAAAATTCGATAGCTAAAGGATCAAAGATTTCGTTACGTTTAATGAGGACTGTGTCCTCGACGCACCGCGCGTGGCGGAGGAGGAGCGTTGCTATTTTGAGGATGTTTTGTTACGTACAAGTATTCACGTAAAACTCACGGCCGTGTCAACGATACAGCCACACTCCGACTTTTTAATTTATTAGAATATGAGTAATTTTGGTTTATAATAATTATAAAATTTTTAATTTTAAATTCTTTAATAATACGCCAACCTAAATTATCTTTGGCATCCTTTCATCTCACCAAACAAAAATATATTGTGTGAATATGACCTTAATCGGATATTTCGAACTAGATTTGATCTCGACTGGCCCTAGCGTTTGTCTGGTACCTTTTTACAACTCTGCTGTTGTCTGCATACCCATTGGTACCAGGCATAAGCAAGTAAATTTAAAGATTGTTAATGATAACAATCTTTAAAGTTCTTTAAATATAGCTTGATTAGAATGACAGCTGTCATTCTGATGTGACTAGTGCTGGGAACATTAAATCGATATATCTATTTACTTATTTTAACCAAGTATTTAAACATTGGGTCTCATTCTGGGCTAATAAAAAGAATTAGCAATAATAAATTTATTAACACAAGGGTGTACATCCTAAGTGACAATCACCATCACAGAATCAGAGTCACTGGAACAATCTTCAAGATTAATTATTAATTTCTGATCACACAAATAATCAAAGTGGGCATTACGTTGCCAATCTTCTGTGATAATTCTTTGCGTTTTATCGACCACCTTCCAAACATTTGGTGTTACATGTTCACATGCATTGTTCAGTAAATTTAATATTTTATTTGCAGTGAACGGTTGTTGTGTCTCGCTGCATGACCTAAAACGAAAACAATGAGTTAATTTTTTTTGAAATAGTGATGCACTAATTAATCAACTTCATTTAAATATTAAAGTACCCGGTTGACCGAGCTTTGCTCGGTATTTTTCGCTCGGTTTTTTTTATTTCGTGTGTTTTGGAAATTATATTTAGATACAAATTACATACTGATGAAATACGAATAATATTTTGTGATCTTAGCGACGTAATAGAAAAAAAACTGAACTGGTTATTTGAATAAAAAAATCATGAGTGCAATTAGTTTAATGTAAATTTTCGTGTTTTTAAAAAATACTAAAAAAAAGGGCTCGAAAAAATAGATTTTCTCAAAAAAGAAAGGAACTTGAAAAAAAAAAAAAGTCGGTCGGCGGTCTGGGCTCGAACCATGTTCTTACGATTTTGTGAGCGCCCAATATACCAATTAAGCTATTTGTAATCATTAAAAAACTGACAAAATTTACCTTCTTATTCTAACGATATTGTAGCAGTTTTTCATTGCCTAAAAACACGGACAAAAAGATATTTTCTAAAAATAAATCCTAGCTAGAACGATTTATTGCTCCCGAAATTCCCTGCACACAAAATTTTATGAAAATCGTTGGAGCTGTTTCCGAGATTCCGAATATATATATATATATATATATATATAACAGAGCAATTCTTGCATATATATATATATGTATATATATATATATATATATATATATATATATATATATATATATATATATATATGCAAGAATTGCTCGTTTAAAGGTATAGGATAAGTACATTTAACTTTCGCCCAGATCAATTTTATTGCGTTATACTGGCAATGATACGGTGGCAGGCGGATAACGGTATGTCCCTTTTCTTTTGTCATCTTATTCAAAACATAGATTGGCGTTTGGGGCTTGTGCATTCCCACTAAACGCAAAAGTTCTTTTTTTCAACATAGTGCCGTCGGCTTGTACTCCATTGGTTTGCAACAACGAAATTATTTCATTCTTCTGTTTATTTGCTGTTGGAAGCTTATTTTTTTTCTGAACTGAATGCTTTGTCCATTGGTATCACATGGGGTTCATCTAAATTGTTTAGAAGTTTTATAAACGATTCTTCGAATTTTTCATTTTTTCTGGTTATTTTTGGAATTTTAACAACAAAAAGGCAATAACAAAACATAAAACATTAACAAAATAAGAATAACAAATACTCAAAACAACAAAATAAATGAAAACTGGGGAAAACAAAGCTTATATCCTATGTATATGCTTTTTTTGGTCTGGCGTCGGCACTCGTACTTACTGACCTTCAAACAAACAAAATGGCGGCTCAATGTGCTCAGCTTTACCAACATCAAAAAAACGAACGCATGATTATTTTTTTAAAGAAAATATTTTTTCTGAAACAATAATTAAAATAAATTTATTTTAATTTAATAAATTCACATTTGTCGATTCGTCTTTGGGGTAACCTTATAAGGTGGTAGTAAATTATTAGGCTTAGTTTTTGTGATAATGAATAAATACTAACTGGTTTTATTTTAAAGCCGAATTTATGTGTTATGCACGTTTTTAAGTTGTAAGAACTGTTATCAAAAATATTGTTCACCCGCCAGAAATTAATGATTTTTCGTTTTACAATATTAATCAAATCACTCGTTACGTTGGACGCTACTACAAAATTATGCCGTCACTTCTGACCACAGCTGTCATTCTAATCTAATCGAGTATCGAACTGTACTAAGTAAAAGTTGAAAATAATTTAGCATTTCCTAGCATTCATTCATTTATTATATCATTTCCTTTCATCATTCATCCTATTAAAAGTCCACTGCTGAACATAGAACATAGTTTGCCTCATAAGGGAGTATATTTTACATAGTTGCCCTTTTTCTTTAATCGTTAAAGAAAAAGGGCAACTATGCCCTACTAAACTATGCATGCAAAAATGATAATCTGACCCTACCAAGCATGGTCGGTTGATCTTACTTAAGGTCAGAATCCTAGTTTTGCGAGATAAACGTTAATGTACCGTAACAGTCAAAACATTTTATTCAATCTTGGCTTGTTTAATAACTCTTATGTACGTACGTGTATCTCAGAGAAGAACCGGCAGCAAACTCTGAGAACACAGTAAACAGTAAACAGTAAAAGTTATGGAATGTGTAACTGTGTGCAAGTTGTAAGTTCTATCATACAGGCAATCGCCTTCTCGTTACAAAATATGTACGTGATTGGCTACGATAAGAATTGCCATATGGTTGCTTTTGCTATGTGCGTGGTTGGCAACGATACGAATGAGGGCATTCACGAATTTTCTGCCATCATTGCGGCGTCACTTAGGAACGAAGTGAAATATTTGACAGATTTCATAAACATCAAAATTAATTTTTCTTTCTGAAATATTAGTTATATGGTGTAAAAGATGAAAATAAATAGCACTGAGGCATTATTTTGTGTATAAACAATATACGTAAACTAGAAATCGAAAAGCTTATAATTAAAACGCTACTTTTGAATGCTTACTACGACCAAATAAGTTCACCTCAGTGGGAAGTAGCGACATGTGGTGAACGAGATATTAGCAGGCGTCATTAACTGTGTGGGTCGGTTGGCGGCAGGGCGGTGCTGATGATCGAGAACTCGATGTCGGTGCAGGACGCGCACGCGATGCTGTCGTTCCAGTGCTTCAACCGGCTGGCGCGCTACTTTGGCATCGTGTCGCAGCTGCACCGCGCGCCCGCCGTGTTCGTGCGCGCCGCACATGAGGTCGCCCGCCGCCGCGCCTTCTCCACCGCTCATCTCAAGGTTTCTTTATTATCACTAGCGCTCAATATTCGACCGTGATTCATTAAATTTTTAATGGTTAGGCTTTGCACGGGTGATTTCTGGGGCTCGACAACAGCGCCACCTACCGGACCCAATTTTAAATCTAAACCACTTTCGAATCAACTTAATCACACAAAAAATTTCATCGAAGTCAGTTCAGTCACATACACACGGACCAAAGAATTATATATACAGTGTGTGGTCACGACCTAGCGATAATTTAAGGTTACAAAATATACCTAATTTCATCGAAGAAAACACCTATATATGGGGGTCTACGCCCCCTCCTGTCGGAATGGCCGCCATTTAATTTTTTTTAAATTCTTGTAGATACCTCTGCCAAAAGATGCAGATTTCTCTGGACAGAAAGGTCCTACAGATGTAAAAAAATGTTATTTAAAAGGTAAAAATAGCATCTATCAAATAAAAATAAACATCATGGAAAGTTTTCCCTACAAAATATCTTAAAACATTTACAATGCTAATTTAAGTTAAAAAAAAATTTACTATTTTTTTTATTTTTCTTAACATACTTCTAAAACTAGCACATTGATACTAAATTTTTTAATACTGTCCTAATACTTAAGGATATTACTTACAAATTGAGATTAAAATTATTGTTCTTAACTGCATAACTCGAGAGTTAGGGCTGTTTGAATATGACCCTTTCGCGACGGTCCCAAACCCATGTAGAGCAACCTGCTACATTGAATAGGGTTTATGTGACAAGGACGGAAAATGATTTGTATTATTGTTAGGCGGTGAATAAGTAGGACAAGAAATCATGTTTGACCAGCGCAGGTATCGAAGATAAATGTTTGTTAGATCAGTTGTCCTCCGCTCTGCGTTGCGATCGCTACTATTCCGTTCCGTTTTGTGAGCTATTCCTTCACCGAGATATTCTGCTGAGTTTGTTGCAGTTTGCAGTGACTTCGTATTTTGCGGATAAAAACATGTGTAACTTTTCGTCTTCATTTTTCGTCTCATCACATAGCTGACATGCATTTCGTGTACGGCAGATGTAATGGAAGCACTGCTGCCGCCGTACGAATGTATCGTCAGAGGTATCCCGACCGGCCTACACCCAGTCGACAAACTTTTGTTGACATTCACTTAAGATTGTCGCAATATGGCATCCAAAGGCCGCTAAATGAACGCTCCCGCATAGTGTCAGTGCAAGCAGAAGAAGAAGTTCTTCAATTTATTTACCGAGATCCCAGGCTCAGTGTAAGGCGAATAGCAATGATGCTGCATTTGTCAAAATGGGTTGTGGGGAAAATTTTAAAACGCGAAGGCATGCATCCGTACCATTTTCGTCGCGTACAAGATATTCGAGAGCCAGACTATGCTGTGCGAGCCACTTTTTGCTCGTGGCTCAACGGTTGTGTGCGACGTCAACCGACATTTTGTAAAAAAATCATGTGGACCGATGAGGCGACTTTTACAAGAGCTGGTATTATAAACCATAGAAACCAGCATTTATGGATGCAAGAAAATCCAAATGCAGTAAGGCCCAGTAAATTTCAACATGAATTTTCAGTAAATGTGTGGGCTATGATTTATGACAAATTAATTGGACCAATTGAATTACCAAATACAATGAATGGCCTAAGATTGTTAGATTTTCTAAGGAACACATTTAGAGAAATCGTGGAGGAATTACCAGTGATCAACCGAAGGCGCATGTGGCTACAGTTGGACGGTGTACCAGCTCACTACGCACGTTCTGTGAGAGCTTTTCTTAATGAAAATTATTCACCATGGATAGGACGTGGTGGAACTGTAGCTTGGCCACCTCGCTCTCCGGATTTAACACCTCTGGATTACTTTTTATGGGGATGGATGAAGCAGAGGGTTTATGCTACAGTCCCAAATAGCAGACAAGAACTGCTCGACAAAATAATGACGATTGCGGATGACATAAGATCCGACATAGTATTAATATCAAGGGCCACACAACAAATGGCTGTAAGGTCAGTAGCCTGTCTACAGAATAGAGGTGGACATTTTGAACAATTATTAATATTAATACATAATGCCATTAAAAGTTTCTTAAAAGTTATAGTGTATTTTTATTTAATCCATTATCGAAAATTAATAGCGCTCATATGAGGCTCTACATACGTGATCCTCGCAAAAGGGTCATATTCAAACAGCCCTAACTCTCGAGTTATGCAATTAAGAACAATAATTTTAATGTCAATTTGTAAGTAATATCCTTAAGTATTAGGACAGTATTAAAAAATTTAGTATCAATGTGCTAGTTTTTGAAGTATGTTAAGAAAAATAAAAAAATAGTCATTTTTTTAACTTAAATTAGCAGACTCCTTAAATTATCGCTATCGTGACCAGACACACTTTTGGCGTATATATATATATATATATATATATATATATATATATATATCATATATATATATATATATATATATATATGTGTGGTGTGTATATATAATTATACATAAAAACCTACCTCTTGAACCGTTCTGTAATTCTGTATATTAATAAAAATCGTATCAAAATCCGTTGCATAGTTTGAAAAATCTTAAGTGTACGGATGGCATGAAGCGATTTTAGTTTTTTACTATGTAGAAATACAAATACAAAATGAAATACAACCTTAGTATAACGAACCTCAATATAACGATTCCCTTGATTTAACATATTCATAGAAATCCCCTAGAACTGACCGTAAAAGTTAATGTAAAATACAATTCTCGTTATCTTCAGAATCTAATTCATCAAAATCGCTTATTTTGAAATCTGCATCCTCACCGCGTTGTATAATTTTGTCTATGATCAAAAGGATGTTTTCTATGCTTTCGTGACCCCTGTTATTTAGCAGGTAGAACCAAACCAAGCAGAAATTCAAAATGACCTGTCCCATGGCTTCCGTTAGCATACCACCTAGTTGGTATACCTTTACATTACGAATAACTTATATAAACCTCTTTATAGAGTTTTTTCAATAATTGTAAAACATAAATAGAAAGTATAATTATTAACCTCTGTAGAAAGTATTGTACCAATCCGTCTAATAAGAATTCATGTCTCGACAGGTGTAAGATACATTCAGTTTAAGATAATCCAGGAATTCAAACCATCATAATGAATTAATGTCTAGTGTAGTAAGGTATTCATTACAATGTGTTTATAAGCTTGCTTACCTTCTTAAAACGAATTTTTAAATCTAAACTCTATGTAACTAACCTCATTGTAATAAATTACTTTGTATAACAAATATTTTCTAATATCCTTCAGATTTGTAATATCAAGGTTTTGTGTGTTCATAGTATAAATATTGAAGTTTCAATTGTGATTATAACAATAGATGATTTTATTTCAAATATTGTCAGTTGTTTTATTTTCATATGGAATGTGGTATTATCGTGTTAGAGTAATATGTGTAAAAAGCTTTGTTGTTTGAATACATTTTATGTTACTTCCAGTGGGCGACAGATCTCGCAGAGAAGTTACAAAAGATCCATGAAGAAGAAGTAAATCGTCGTCAAGACTTCAATTCGTTGTTCGACGGACATTTTCTTAAGAATTTATTCCCAGGCATGTCTGACCTCCCACCGACATTTGCTACACAAGCGCCGCCTGCGTTCGACGCCCGCCTCCCAAAAATAACGGATGAGGACGTGCAACTTATTTCAAATACATTTCAAGAATTGGCACAGGATGTGCCCCACTATGATATGGAAGCCGCAGTAAAATTTTTTCAACAAAGGTTAGTTTGTTTTCTATAGTGTTTTAATAGTATTTTATATGCTATGCATAAGATTCAATATATCAAAAAGTTGTATATAAAAGTTACCCAAACGTACTTAGATTTAAGCTTTACTCAGTAGCAAGGTTAAGGTGATACTGACTGACTGGTAGAGCCATGCTGCAGCTATATTAGATGTATAGTTGTAGCGCGAATGGGTCGGCTCGACCAGGGAAGGACAAGGCTCTCACAGAGTACCAGCGTGAAATAGTAGCTTAATGCTGCTGTGTTTAGTATGGTGAGTATAGAGAACCGGAAACAATTGTAGAAGCGTGCTCGTCGCGACTCCTGCCAGCCCTTTTCAGGGCTGCAATTCTACACAGCTGCGCACCCATGCAAACGAGGGTTAGAGCGTCCCCCCCAAGGCGACGCACACCAGCTCGTCCCCGTTGGTGTGGAATGCAGCGCGCAAAGCGGCGATGGGGACCGCCACCCGTCACGCACAGCCCGACACGGCGGAAGGTGGAGGACGGAGTGCAGAGTTGGCACGTGGAATGTTAGAGGGGGCATGAGAGATAAGACGAATGAGTTGATCGAAATAATGAAAGAAAGAGAATTAGATGTCGTGTGTATGTCGGAGACCAAACGGAAAGGCAGTGGTACTGAAGAGCTCCCTGGCGGGACGTTAGCTATATGGTCCGGAGTCCCGGAAAGCGAGAACGCCTGCCAGGGAGTGGGAGTGCTGTTGTCGTCCCGGTTGGTCGATCTTATGACTGAATACAAGGTTGTGAACTCAAGACTTCTCTGGGTTCGCTTCAAAATGGGACTGACGAAGTTATTCCTTTTGGCTGTTTATGCGCCGAGCTTCGTCGTCCAGGGCTGAGCTGGAGGAGTTTTGGGAGAATGTAAGAGAAGTTCTAGATTTGGTTAAGGGAAACGAAAGAACTGCTGTATGTGGTGATTTGAATGGATGGGTAGGTATCGCTCGACCAGGATACGAGTCGGTGCTTGGAAAGTTTGGCGATAAAAGGATTAATGATTCTGGCAAGCTTATACTGGCTGTATGCAAGGAAAAGGGTCTTCTTGTGACAAACACTATGTTTAATCACAGGAAAATCCATATGTACACTAGAGAAAGAAAGAATGAGAGAAGTATGATTGATTTGTTCCTGGTGGATGACCGACTGCGAAAACAGGTGATGGATACACGAGTGTTCAGGGGTGCTGACCTGGGAACGGATCATTATCTAGTAATTACTAGATTTAGGGGTTTGTTCGCGGGTTGGCACTACCGGACGGCAGTAACAGAACCACAGTCGGTCTGTCGCATCCGAAGCTGGAAGCTTCAGGAAGCGGATACTAGGGACAAATATCACACGAGGGTAGCCGAAAAGCTTGACACCATCGATGGCAGGAAATAATGTGTGGAGAGAACATGGCAGAACCTTAGGGATGGAATGGTAAGTGCAGCGGAAGAAGTATGTGGTACGACAAAAAGAGGTAGTAGTAAAAGAAGAGATGCATGGTGGAATGATGAAGTGAGAGAAGCTGTAAAAAAAGAAGAAAAAAGCATGGTTAGACTACTTGGCCTCTAGTAACGATGAGCATATGAGAGAGAAGATGAAAGAAATATATAAGCTGCAGAAAGTTCATGCGAAAACATTGATTGAGGAAGTACGTGAAAGGTGTAGAATAGAAGCGGACGCGAGGTTGTCGCACAACTTTAGGGAAAACTCCAAACTCTTCTGGAAAGAGGTTGGAAGGTCCCAGAGTGGTGCGACAGCCTTAAGAATGAACAAAGTGCTTTCGAGAACCAATGACGTCCTCTCAGAAAAATCGGACGTCATGCAGCGATGGAGTGAATTTTATAGAGAAATGTATGCGTGTCATGATCTTAGTGAAGGATCCGGGGGTGACGCCGTGACTGGCACGCCAGACACGGACCTCGATGACACTGAGGTCATCAGCATGAAAGAGATTGAACGTGCGATTCGAAGTTTGAAATGTGGTAAGGCTGCGGGACTAGACAGAGTTACTGCTGAAATGGTCAAGTACGGTGGGCCTCGCGTCTGGGACAGCTTCCATCTGCTGTGCAATTTGTGCTGGCGGACGGGAGATGTCCCGGATGATTGGCGATCCGCGGTCATTGTGCCTTTATATAAAGGTAAAGGTTCACATTTTGACTGCGGGTGCTATCGGGCGATCAGCTTGACCAGTTTAGCAAGTAAAGTTTACTCGAAGGTTTTGACAAGTAGGATGCAAGAGAAATCGGAAAGATTCTTATGGGAGGCACAATGCGGATTTAGACCTGGAAGAGGATGCACGGATCAAATGTTTTCTCTCCGCATGATCACGGAGAAGCTTTTGAGTGTTAACCAGAAGATTTTCTGTGCTTTTGTGGATCTGGAGAAAGCATTTGATAAGGTTATAAGGAAGAAAATGTGGGAACTGTTGCCGGGATATGGTGTGGATGGTCGATTGTTAAGGGCTGTGCAGTCACTTTACTATGACTGTAAAGCCTGTGTGCGGGTAGGGCATGACCTGTCACCCATGTTTAGCGTCCAAGCGGGCGTAAAACAGGGTTGTGTCATGTCTTCCTGGCTGTTCATACTGTATCTCGACAGCTGTTTACAGAAGCTGAAAAATAGCTGTTTGGGTGTGAAATTGGGTGACATAAAAGTTAATTGTCTGCTGTATGCTGATGATGCAGTGCTTATTGCACCATCAGAAGCAGAACTGCAGGCATTAGTCACGTGTATGAAAGAGGAATGTGAAATTAAAGGTCTCCGTTTGAATGCTAATAAAACTAAGGTTCTGGTATTTGAAAAGGACGAAGAGAGAACGAAATGTGAAATATGGGTAAATCAGGAATGTCTAGAATGAAATTGTATACTTGGGGAGTGCTTTCAGCCGGGATGGAAGATGTGATTTAGATGTGGATAGGCGTGTCGCTGCCGGAAACAAAGTCAATGGTGCCCTGAATGCATTAGTAAAAAGGCAAGGCGTGGTGAAGAGTGCACGCCTTGCAATACATAATGCAGTGTTGGTACCGACTTTGTTATATGGCAGCGAAACCTGGGTATGCCAGAAGAAGCATAAAAGCAAGTTGAATGCAGTGGAGATGCGATCTCTTCGTAAAATGTGTGGCGTTACCTTAGCCGACCGAAAGCGAAACGAAGAGATTCGCAATATGGCAGGATTGAAAGATGACCTTATCACAAAAATTGATAGGGGCGTACTCCAATGGTTTGGGCACGTTGAACGAATGAGTGAAGACCGAATGGTGAAGAAAATATATAGAGCGAAAGTAAATATTAAAAGGTGTCGAGGTAGACCGAGACTAACTTTCGAAGACCATGTGAGCAAATTGCTCGAAGAGGGGAGGGTCAAGAGTACTCGGATACCTAGATGTGCATGTATGAAGAAGTTAATGAACCTGAAAGAAGCGAAAGAGGTATGTAAGGATCGTGACACTTGGCGATCTGTTCTCTCTGGCTACCCCGTTAGGGATTGTGCGTGAAGATAAGTAAGTAAGTAAGTAAGAAGGAAACAATTTTACTGGAAACGAGGCATTCCATTTTTGTTCTCAAAGCTGACAACGCATCTGCATTTTGATTCGTAGTCGAGGATAGATGTAGATGTCTATGGGCCACAGCAACCACTTACCATAAGGTGGACTATGTGCTCGTTTGTCACACTATCTTATAAAAAAATAGTAATACACTTTACTGTAATTTGGGATTAACATTTGGGGATACTTATTGCTCCGTGAAGAATATTTGTCAAAATGATTCAAATGTAAAACGAATCTAGGAGCTTTTTCAGCAGTTCGATAGAAAACGTACCACTACGCCACCCAGGACTTCCGTCCGGAATGCCGTGCGAAGCTGGGGTGACTAGCTATTAAAAATTAAAAAAAATTAAAAATATTAAAAATAGAAAACATCATCATATTATTTACTTTATTCCAGGTTATCAGCATCCGACCATGATGAAAGGGATGTTGACGTTCAAGTTGACCTCGATAGGTAAGATATTGCTTTTATATGTATCTTATATCTGAACTATTATTTGAATCAATAATATTTGGATTTTTGTAAAATATAAATAAAAGAAAACAAACAATAATTTAGAGGTCATGGCAGAACTATGATGCTAGACGATAGTATATTATACATGTATCAATCATTCATTTCTCGTGACAGATTCATTCTAATACATTTCGTCACGCGTACCGGTACATTCGAATCGATCATTCGAATGGGTCATTTCGGGCTCCACTAAAACACCTCATTCAGATCATTCTGGATTCGGTCGGTTTTCGACTCATTCACTATTTACACCAATCACGAGTTAAAAAGGTTCCGTTAATTGTTTGTACCGGAACATTCAAAAACAGATGAATAAATCATCAATACTTTTAAGTGTACCAGCTAGGGATGGCGATTACTTCCGTATTCAAAAGATCGATTTGAATCGAAATCTGATGAATCAATAAAAAATCGAGGTATAAAAGATCGATTTCTCAAGAATCGATCTTTTTTTGATTTGCTTTCAAAGTTTTTATTTACAATACTATGCCAAACATTGAGTTATTATAAATCAATGATGCCAAATATGGCCATCAACGGGGAGGCCTATGCTCAGCAGTGGACTTTAACCATACAAGACTCAATTTTTTTTCTTTTGCTAATTAAAATATATGTGATGTTATTAGTGATAAATGCCTGGGAAAAAATAATTAAAAAAATCAAAACCCAATATTTTACAAGAAAATCAGTTTTTTATTTCAGTTCCATATGTGGTACACTGAGCCTTAACTATATTTTTTTTGGCATGGAGCCAGAACTTTTAAATAATTTTACCAACATTATATACTAATTACTATTTGAATTACAATGTTGGAGTGAGACTTAACAAATTAAACAAACATTTAACAAAACATTTATAACAAAAAAAAGTAACTTTTTTCAAAGTAGATACATATTGGTGAAAGTTTCATGCTGTAACGTAACGGTTATTGAATAAAAGGAAGATACATATTTGCTGGCCCAATTGAAACATTACGTTGAAAGCAGCTAGCAAAGTAATTAATTACATGTTATGCGTACTTCATATTATCTCATTAATAATGAAACCATATTATGGTGGTTGAAAATACTTATAGCGCCATCTATATAAAATTATAGTAGTTAATTTATTATTACAGTAAAATATAAATTATATGACATTTAGAAAAGCACAGGTACGAATAATATAAAAAACTCAAAATTCGGTAATGTAATTTTTCAATTTTACGACAATGTAAATTTTAAAACGTTTGGAAGTGCAAAAGGGAAGTATATGTATGTTTACTGCCAAGCTTCTATATTATTGATATGATCCTTGCCGAAACCAAAAAAATCGTAATAGCTCTTTCAAAATTTAATTTACCATGTTGTAGGTCTCTCTCTTAACTCTTAACTCGGCGGTTAAGGAAAAAATTATAAAAAATGTAACAAAGTGAATCATATTATATAAAAAGTTTACTGGTAACCCGGTTTAATTATGTGTTTGTTTACAGAGATTTCGAATCAGAAACAGAAACAGGCGATTTTGAGAAGTTGAGCAGACAGAGCGGTTCACAAAAGCAGAAAATCGACACGTCCACGACCTGTGCTCCCGATACGATGGCAGTATCAACCGTAACCGAGGTGCGAACACTCCCACTTATATTGGAAACGGTGGAAAGTCCACTGAAACAGAAGGAGGAGTTTGAAAACTCAGAGTTTTATATTGAAGAGTCGCTACCGTCCAGCTTGGAATGGGGCCGGGATGAACGGCAGGTGCAAATTGGACATAATCTAACGTCTTATAGTTCCACCTATGTAAGACCATACAGTAAATTAGTTAGTCATTTTGATTTTTGTTAAATATATACCTAAAATATCTTCAGTTATAAAAACATTTCTATACAACTTCAAGGGTTTGTATTGTAAAAATCGGTCTTATATTTTTTGTAGCAGTTTAAATGATAAATTTCAATTGTAAAACAAAAGGTCTCTATGGGTGGATTTAGTACTAGTTCGTTTTTTGTTGCTCCTGTCTTCACCGGCCCCATGAAAATATAATCTTTGTATTAGTTTTATTTGCTTCGCTGATTTTATTTTCTTTACTTAGATTATTTAGATTTTGTATACATTATTTTATTTTATAGATTGTGTTCAACTTGTATATCAATAAATCAATATTATAAACAAACTTTTTTAATTTTAAGGACAACATGGACACTCATAAATTGAACATTGAAAAGCTACAAGACTTTTTAAGTAAACTGTGTACCTTGTGTAAAGTTAACATAATGTATATTAAAGATGAATTAGTTAAACTCAAAGATGAGATAGACGAACAGAAAAAATATATATCTGGAAAATATTTAGAAGTTATTCATGCTTGGGAGAAGAGTAACGAGGAGGCGGCGATAAGGTTTCGTGAACAAACGCAAAGGCTTACCGTTGATCATGAGTTAGAACTAAGTGACATCAAAGCATGTCTTAATGACAAGGATGATATTATTAATTCTTTGAAAAATGAACAAGAACAATTGAAAATTCAACATAACAAAGAAGTAGAGAAATTAGAATCGGAACATCAGGGTACTAAAGATTTATTAGAAAAAACTCGAGAGGAACTAAAAGCATTTGAAAAGAAGCTTGAAGAAATGGAAGCACAAAAGCAAAAAGAAATCAAAGAGTTACAAGAAAAGATGCACTTGGATTTTAAAGCCGAAGTTGAATCCATGCGTTCCAGGTAAGTTCCAAGCATGACTTTGAAACTTTCAATTATTCAAATAGCTATTGGGAGAAAATAAAAACCTTAAAGTATCTGTTGACTCCAAACATTGTTGCGTTGTAATAGAACTTTTTACTTCTTTCTTCCATTCCAACTTATAGTTGTATTAAATTTAATACGACAGTCTATAAATCCATACAGTCGTCCGACTAAGATGTCTAGACAGGGCAATCGTGCGGGGTGTGAGGGGCGAGACGCGAAAGGACGAGCCCGAGCTGCTTATGCCAATCTTATTAGTAGCTCGAGGCACGACGTCCAGGGTTAACACGTGTTTGCTTTTATTATTGTTAATAGAATAGAATAATTTTTATTCAATATTGATTACATGTAATTCTTATTTAAAGTAATTTTTTACTTTACCACTGGTTCGAAAAAAAAACCTCTGTCCTGGTAAGAACCAGCAAGAAACTTCATGGTCACAAAATATTTACAAAATTTATCTTAGAAACAGCTTGGAAGCGACCACCTCATTAAATTTAGTGGACTTATAATTAAAATGGTACATACAACGTGTGCTGTGAGAGATTGCAAGTCGTCATCTCGCATAAATAAAGATCTGCGATTTCACAAAATTCCGCACAAGGAAGAAAGGTTGTGTAAATTTCGTTATGTCATGCCAAATTACCAACGTAAAAAAATGGCGAACGTAAAAAATATGAACTATAGTATGTGCCAAATCGATTGAGAAAAACGGACTATGACCTCAGATATGAGCCGAATGTCAAAAGGCGTAACTTACTAAATCTCAATATAGATGTGATAACAGTATTTAAATATTGATATTATTCACACTTCTAGGTCAGCACATATGTTTTGTTTTTTTCGTTTCTTAAATAATATTGTCTTTGGTTCCTATTAACATCGTAATGCCCCTATTACACCACCCTGAATCAGGGCCCTGAATGAAGGGTGGGCGTGGCCCCTAGTTAGGGACGTCAGTTATTACACTACCCTGATTTTACGCCCTTACTCAGTCGTAGGGATGGACAAGTGAAAAAAGTATATATATTTATTGAATCGATATTTTTAAAGTAATTGTAACAAATCATTTACTGTGTTTCGTCCTGCTAATTCTAGTTGCGTAACTGGAGTTTAGTTCGAGTTGTGTGAATTTGAACTTGAGTTAACTCGAGTCGTAATTTTTCCAAGCAAGCACATCTATAGGATGCAACATATCTCATTAAAACATCGAAGCTTTTGTAAGATAAATCGTTTTTTTTTCGATGTTTTTATAAAACGTACATATGGATTAAATAACCATTTTGAACAGAAATTAAAGAAATAAGTATAATAATCAAACATTATATTTATGTTATTTTAGGAAGTTTTACACTATTTATTTTTACACATTTAATTTTATCGAATAATTATCAGAAAACAAGAATTAAATAAATATTATTTTACTTTTACGTTTACTTCTTTCGAATTGAATTTTAAAATAACAATTTTGACAACCTGGTGCCTGGTAAGTGGTTTGTCTCCTGGGTGATTGTAGATCCAGCCTCTGAAAATAACCGCTCACGGGATACCGAAGTTACCACGATAGGTAAATAAATCTTATCGAGGCTATGAAGCCCGGGAAATAACCCTTTCATGATATCCCACATGTAATATATGAAATTCGTCTTCTGCTTTAGTTTTATTTCTTATGATGTGGTGCGGTAATTTTTGTGGTGGTTCCGTATGTTACCTTCATACTACTTCACTATCTACGAAACTATACCGAAATACAAACGAAAAAAAGATATATAAGACTCTACTTAAGCTATTCATTAACTTAAAGCTCAAACGATATAATTATTAATAAGAAAATGAATAAAACAATTTCAATCCATTTTCAATATTTGTAAACTTATCTTAATTAATTATCACAATAAAAATAACAATTTTACATCGAAAGTGGAATTACCAATTGTACATTTGAAGTTCAAGTATATTTATTTTTGGCTGAAAGACCATTCGCCTGTTTGTTGATTCGTAGTTAAAATTTTCAGGATTGAGTTATTTTCTACTCGTAAACCTTCTTACTTTAAATTTAGACGTTATCTAACTTTGACATATTTTATTTCGAATATTTATTTTTTTGGCAACATAAAATTCGTGATAATCATCGTTCGCAACTTTTAACATACGGAATTTTATACCTTCGAATAGTTGGTTATTTTCCGTAACCGTTGACGGCGGCAAAATATCGTTCATAAAACATAGCTCATGAAGAACTATGTTTATGAATGATATATCGATGTTTAAAATAATTGATGTACCGTTTGCATCCCTAGTTGCGCATCGAATAAGTGCTCTAACTCCCTTAGTGTTATTAGACTGCACGGTGGAAGGGCACTGCAGACCGGGTCCACTTTGACGCCCTAATTAGGGACCCTTACTCCCTTTCTCTTATTACACCACCCTGAATCAGGGCGTAGGCACCCTGATTCAGGGTAGTGTAATAGGGGTATAAAATCTTACGGTACATCGCGAAAAATGTGTTATATTTTAAATTTCAATTTATGGTAAGTAACGCAGCAATTCATTTAATAACAGTTTCATATTAAAAAAAAATTGAAGCAATATAATCACCATATTGAGCTTTTGCAAATTCATCCCTTTAAAATAAACAAAACGCGCGTTACGTCAGTTCGCTCTAAAAGAAAGTTGACAATGGCAGCCAGAGATGCGTTACCTTTTTTGGGCTGGTGATGATTGCACCGAATAAAAATAAAGTTCTTATATAATATTGAAAATAAAGTTTTATTTTTTGAATAAGTACGTACTTATTCGGTGTCGTTATCGCTCGAATCTTTATATTATGTGTTATAAACTTATAAATTAATGCTTTTTGTTGTTAAATGAATAAAGTACTTTGTAACAATAGATGATATTTCTTCTACAGCGATCTTTTACATAACTTTTTAATAATAGTTAATAAATATATCCTATACCTTTAAACGAGCAATTTTTGTATATATATATACATATATATATATATATATATATATATATATATATATATATATATATAGGGAGTCCAGGGGAGTTTCGGGGGCAATAAATCGATCTAGCTGGGATTTATTTTTAGAAAATGTCCTTTGTCCGTGTTTTCAGGCAATAAAAAACTGCTACAATATAAGAAGGTAAATTTTGACAGATCACTAACGATCGTAATAGCTCAGGTGGGATGTCGGTCGGGTGTGATATCGGAGTTCCGTGGTTCACGTCCTGTCTCTGGTCCGGCTTTTTTTTCTTTTTTTTTTCAAGTTCCCTTCTTTTGTGGGAAAATCTATTATTTCAAGCCCTTTTTTTTAGTATTTTTTAAAAATACGAAAATTTTAGTAAAACTAATTGCACTCATGATTTTTATTCAAATAACCATTTCAGTTTTTCTATTCTGTCAATAAGATCAAAAAATATTATTTATTTTTAATCAGTATGTAATTAATACATGTAATTTCAAAAAATAAAAATACGAGCAAAGCTCGGTCATCCGGGTATTATTATATCAATCAATATAAAAAAAATAAAAAAAATCCTTATAAATAAAGAAAGTGCTACATATAAAATGTGCCTATATATTAAAGGTTTGTAACCCCTGGTTAAACTACCGAAAAGTCATTGTCCGTTTTTCTCAATCGATTCGGTACATACTATATCGCTTGGCATGTGTTTCGAAGTTAGATTTTTCTTCTTCATCCAAATCGTGTGGTTGGACAGTCCCCGTCTTCGGTCTTTCAAGTTTTTATAAAATATTAAGGTTTAGGGGTCAATTTTTGGGTATGTCGAGGTGCTAATCACGAAAATAAGATATATTTTTATATGCAAGATGGCGGTCATTTTTTAATATAATAATGTATGATATGGATGTCAACTTCGAGGTTTCTTGGAGTGTTGATTACGAAAATGGCATACATTTTCGAATCCAAGATGGTGGACATAATTTTTTAAATGTTATGGATGTCAATTTAGATGTTTCTTGAGGTGGTGATTACGAAAACGGCATCCATTTTCATATCCAAGGTGGCGAACATTTTTTAATAATATGATATGGGTATCAATTTTGAGCTTTCTTGAGGAGTTGATTACGAAAACAGCACATATTTTCAAATTCAAGATGGCGGACACAGTTTTTTTTAAATAATATGATATGGGTATCAATTTTGAGGTTTCTCAGGGTGATCGAAGATGGTAGACATAATTTCTTTAATGTTATATATGTCAACTTTGAGGTTTCTTGGGGTGATGATTACAAAACGCCATCCGTTTTCATTACTATGTAGGTATCTAAATCTATTGCTTACATTTCTATTCAGCGAGAAGACTCGCCGACGCACAGACCAACGGACGGCAGTCCATATATTTTTCAATTACATTTTTTGTTATGTAATCTAAAGTGAATCATTTAGAAAAAAACTAGTCTTATACTTCAATGTCTGTAGTCATTGTAACGTTAATAACAATGTAGATTTTAGTTTTAGCAAAGAGTAAGAACGAGTTTATGTAGCAAAATTGAGGTATGACCGCATATCGAGAGTAGAGCACTCCTAAACCTCGATTAAGAATCAAAATGCAGATGCGTTGTCACCCTTGAGGACTAAGATGGAATGCCTCGATTCCAGTAAAACGGGTCTCCAGTTCTCTACACTTACCATACGAAAAACAGCAACATTAACCTGCTATTTTACGATGGTATTCTGTGAGAGCGTGATCCTTCCCCGGTCGAGACGACCCATTCATGCTACAGCTATAATATAGCTGCAGCGTGGCTCTACTACGTATAAAGTTTTGAGTACTTTCAGGAAAATGTAAGCACAAATTGTTACTTAATCTATATATTAGTAATCATACTGTTGATGATGTAGATCTAAAATAAATAAATAAAATAGTAAAAGTAGTTAATTTGTGGCAACCCTAGCCTCCATGCGCTGTTTAGACGTTGTCGGCATTTGCCACGAGATCAAAGGCGTCGTCCTACTGTATGTTTTAATTATACTGTGGTAATATATATTTACGTTTCTTTTGTGTTTACAGATTCAGATTAGTAGCACTGACCAATATGGATCGGTCACCATCGGAATCGAGTCTAGAGAAGATTGAGCGAACTGATGTAATAGAGATAAGTAATCACAACGCCATTGTAATGCAGACGAAGGAGAACGCGGAAGTCGAGAAGGAAGAAGCCGTGAGAGTTGCAGTGGAGAAGTGTAAAGCCGAGTGCGAGCAGAAAATTAGTGCAGAAATCGCTCTGTTGAAGGCCAAATATGAGGCTGATAAACAGGTAATGCTTTATTTTTTGCACTAGACAAAATTTTGTAATTATACCAATGCATTTCATGTATAGATGTTAATTTAAAGATGAATATATACTACAAGTATAGACATTATATCGTACGAAGAATTGCAAGCCTACGGCTGCTTAGCAACGAACTTTTTACTAGACTTGCAAATGAATAGTATATTTGGCCGATTAGCCGATTATTAGGCAAAAATATTCGGCCAGTAAGGAAGTAGTGTTTATTCAAAGCATCTTTTCTATGAAGTCAGAATTGTCTATGAGAAGAAACGGAGTGAACTACTGCCTGAAAATGCAATAAAAAATTAGTCTCTTTGCACCATAATCTTTCATTACTAAATTTTAATTGAAGTGCATAGATATTTATTTGATAGTTTTTTTGGGTTATTCCGTTTATCCACCGTAGAGAATCCACCCTAGGGTGGATACTCGGAAACGCGTGTCCGTCTATTAACCCCAGATGGGATGGATAATCGAAATTCACTTTTATTTGTTCTTTCGACTTTGCACCCCAAGTACAGTTCAACACATACACTATAATTATTAATTAATTTTTAATAACCACAAACTTTATCAAAAAACTTAATGTGTTGCCGTTACCATTACAGTCTAAAGTCCATGCATTACGTTTTAAATAATATTATCGCGTAATTTATAAATTCTGCAATATGTCCATTGTTACCAGCTCTAATTTCACTATTGAGTAGACGCAGTATGACATTCTGGTTAAATTCGTCACTTTAATGTGATAGATTTAATTGCAAACATTTCAAAAACATTAGGATTGAAGTTTGTCTTTAACTTCATATTAAATTATTTTATTCCAAGAATTGCAATTAATCTGTAATCCTGTGAGGCACTCCGTTTATTTAAACGTTGACCTTTCAAACAAGAAGTACTTATGTATATATTTTATAGGTAATGTCTACTAAGTACCTTGAGCCAGCTTTTATCATGTTTCTATACATGACTGTATATAGCCGAGAGGGAAAGTCGGAAGAAAATAATATATACGTATTCCGATTATCCACCCCGTCTGGGTTAGATAGACGGACATGCGTTTCCAAGTATCCACGGTAGGGTAGAATCTTTAGAGTAGATTAACGAAATAACTCTTTTTTTTTTGTTAATTTTATAAGAGAAAGAAAATACATTATTATAAAATGAATAAATATATTCATTTTATTAATTATCTGACTACAACAGAATATTTCACTAAAGTATTCGGTTTTCGGCCGAATAGTACCAAAATATTCGGTATTCGAGCGAATAGAACAAAAGTATCCGAATAAGTTTAATACCGAATAATAGCCAAATATTTGTTGTTTTTTTTTGTGTTTGTTTTTTGGTGACCCTTCTCTACTGGTAAAAAGATATTCTGTCGTAGTCTTCAGGGGTGACGATGCTATTTTATTTTTAAATGATGATTGATGTAGATGTCTATGGGCACAGTATCCACTTACCATCACGTGGACTAAGTACTTGTTTGTCACCTTTATAAAAAATTAACTTAATGATTTCTTATTTTTGCGCGAACACTACACATTGAATGAAACTACTAATGTCATAGCTAATCAAAAGAAGGTAGCGCTGTTTAACACTACAGTGCACGCGCCCCTTTTTTTACATGGATGCTCGCATGCTCTACCCTGGTAGAAAACAATATTGTAAATATTTAAAAAGCGGGTGGTTTTAAAATGATAAATCTGCATAATATTGGTTCTTTATTTATAATTGCACACAGTTATTGCAAAAAAATCTAAGTTTTAATAGAATATACTTAAGTTAGGAACAATTTAAGAGAGCAACAAAATAATCAACATTTTTCGCATGTTTGAGATCAGCTCAAAAAAAAACTTCTAATAATAGGTGACTGTCTTATTGGTCGCCATCCTCGCATTCGATACAGACCACAACTTGGTGATCAGGACAAATCCACCTGGCACATCGTTTACACCACTTTATCGTGGACCGATTTCGGGCTCGAGAATACAGGCAACATTTGCCTACTCTTCCCATTCTTTGAGGTTCATTGCGAGGCTCCTCATCTGTATGCCCCAGAAGCCATTTTGTTTTATTTTTTAATTCTCTGGAGAGGTTTTCAAGTGTCGATCTTCTTGCCATGAGGGGTTTTACCAGCTCGTACGAAAGATCGTAGAGGAAATTGCGTCTCACAATCTTTTCCTGGCCTTTATTTAGTTGATGGATAATCAAGGCATTTATTCCAGCTATATTCAAATAATTGAAAATAATAAGCGGCCATCGTCGGGAGTTTCGCAAAACGCTGTACTGCTTACACATTTTGTCGAGAATATTCACGCCACACTTAGTACGGTTATAACAAGTGATTATTTCCGGTTTACGGTCATCATTGGTTTCTGGATCTATAGCATCGTCGTAGTGCATTGTAGAAAGTAATGCGACAGATTTGTTTTGCAAGTAACAAGGTTCGATCTATTTTTTGATGCGAAAACACTCGCATCAAAAAATAGATCGAAACAAGATAATGGCGTTTCAGCGTTTCTTGCAGCACCCTTTGGACCTGGAGGTCTAAACCGGATGTTTTGAGATCTTACCTGTGTTGCTGCAGCACATGTTTTACTCCACCCGTGTTCCATTTCTAGATACAAAAACATCGTCTCGTGTATTGTTCTGCGCGAGTTCAGTTCGTTCAGTTCGTTTACGGCTTCCTGTACCAGGTCTTCCTGTTCCATTGGTTGTACTCCTTCTTCCCCATTATCAGATTCACTTTGAATCACTTATTCATCATCTTGTTCTTCATGCAACCACTGGCTCAAGCGAGATTCTAAGTGTGGATCCATTTATTTCGCTGAAACAAAGTAATAATAATTATTAAATACACACTAACATGCTGAACTGCAAACAGTATAGTTATTGTTCCATTGTCAAAAAATAAACATTGTAAAGTAAAAAAGTCACAAAATAATAAATTTACTTACATTCAGTTTTATTACGTCAATACTCGCACGTACTACAATGATAGAAGCTGAACTTTGACACCTAATTACGGAAAAATGCGCTTACGCTGCAGGTGTGCGCCGTACTAATCCTTTCCGTGATTTTGTCGACGAGGCTTAACAAGGAGCGCGGGGGCTCAGGAGTAAAAATGAATGAATGACGCCAAAATGAGTGAGTGTGTTCTACCATAGTAGAGCACGCGTGCACTCTAGTGTTAAGTACAGCAAGTGGGTACGATACATTGGGATGTTGAACACCCAGTTCCACCAAGACTGTGACAACTCGGAACCTCGGGAATATATAATTAATACTGATCTCTTATATTTACGCGAACACTACACATTAGGCATGGGCGTTTTTGGATTTGAACGCAAACCGATATTTATCCGATTTCAGATTTCAAAATCGATTTCAAAATCCGTTTTTAAAAATCCGATTTCAGTATCGCTTAGCCACGCCAATTCGTTTGCGTACTTAGATTTCGTTTTATAAGTTAACAAAAGGACAAGCGCAAATCTAACTAATACAGAAACAGATTTGCGAGATTATCCTTCATGCTTTAATCTGGGCTTAGGACTAGCAGAAAATTTTTGTATGAAATTAGAACTTTTTCGGCGCATTTAATAATCGGTATATTTAAAATGATTTCTTATTATATTTTTTTGTTTGGTTTTTATTTTTTAAATTTTTTATTTCAGAATCTGTTTGGATTAAGATTTGCGTTTAAAAACGCAATTTGCTCCACTTTTGACGACTTTAGACGACACCTCTTTTCATTTATTATATATCCCGTCTTTGAAAAAATTCGTTCGCACGGAACGGATGTCGCGACAATATTGCATTTTGAGCGATATATTTCCGACAAATGCGGATAAATTATTTTATGATCAATAACTTACTTAAAACGTACACACAATTCACTCCTGATTTTTAAACATTTTTACACACTTTTTTCATATATTTACTAAACAAAAAGGTATTAAGGCAATAAATATCAGTAAATAATATAATACAATACACAGTTACGACTGACCGGCATGCGAGCAGTTGTCACCAGGATTAAATTTACGTCTAAAGTCTAAAACATAACAACATGAAAACAAAAAATTATTTTAAGTAAGCAAACATTTAACTAAAAACAAAAATAAATCATCACACAATCTCGCAAATATAGCCTTAAACAACTTAACAATAAGAATGATATTGATCGCACACTGAACCAAAAATTCAGCAACGCATAATCTCGCAAAGCCAATATAGACTTTACGTACTAAGCAGTAAGGATAATATTGATCCCATATCTCAATGTGTAATAGATTTCGATATTCCCCATGGCCGACAAACCGAAATCTGAATCTTAAACTTCACGTCATCGAGAGAGACACTAAAAAACGGATTTGAATTTCTACGCAACAGTTTGCGTTTAGATTTGGATATTGTCGATTTTATTTTCGTTTTGGATTAGTTTGGTTGTACAGATCGTAAGAGTTTAGTTAGTTTGGTCGATTTTTGAAATCGGATTTTCTAGTTTGAGCAATCTATACAAATCGATTTGTGTTTGAAATCGGATTTTAGATTCGTTTTGATATATCCGACTCATGCCTACTACACATTAAAATTTTAATCTATGGTAACCGCGGTTAACTATGACATCTGGACGTTGAACATCTCAGTCCCGCCCGTGACCATGGGTGCTGTAAAGCGCTCGAAACGTCGGGTATTTAAAAAGTTAAATATACGCGATAGAATCCGTAAAAACTAGTATTATTTCAAAATATATAATTAAGCTAAATAAATGCTATGAAATCTGTAAAAAGTAATTTCATTGAAAGAAAAATTGTTGATTTTGTTTTTATTATAAGGGTTTCAAGTTTCTAATTCAGATTATAAAGAATAACGCATTGTATATATAGGTAACAATAAACGACGTGACTCGTCGACTGCTCTCCGAAAAGGATCGTCAGCTGGAGTTGTTACGCGAACGCGAACAGACGCTCGCGCGCGAG